AAGTTCATGCTCAATCATCCAGGTATCAAATCCAATAATTCTCAGTCAGGTCATCTGGACAGTTGCTTTTTTATTGTTGGTATTGATGTAGCATGGGGAGCAATACAAATGCGCTAGCAAACGTAGGGCTAAGCTAGTGGGCGGGCAACACATCTGACTCCCCCCACCCAGTAGTCGCTAAAATCCGGTAGCTACGTAGCGCTAAGCTAGCAGGCAGGACACTACCCCCCACACACACGCACAATTAAAAATAATTAAACACCATGAGCGCACCGCCAATGGAGCTCATCTAGGGGAAACACTGTAATCGGTAATTATCGGTGTCCAATATCGGGGATAGCTTAAATTTCCATATCGGTCGGGCTCTAGACAAAACCCTCATCTGAATGTTTAAAACGTATGGAAGAGACCAACCAAAGTGTAGAATAATAAGCAAAATATTTTAAAAGTGGTCACAAACCACGACACGTGACCTCAAACCCGTGAAAACTACAGTTTGTGTTTTGAAACAACAGACTCATAAGGACTGTGACGTTCAGTCTTACTGCGTTGAGCTTAAATGGACTGCACCTATACAGCTCCTTTCTGTCTGATCAAGACTCTCAAAGCTCTTCACAACAATCTGTGCCTCATTTACCCATTCACACAGCTCTATACTAGATCTGAACAAAGAATCAGAGCTTTATCACATTCATACACCGATGGGACACATCAGAGACAATGAGGTGTCCTGCCCAGTGACACTTCAGCATGTGACTGTTGGTGGAATCGAACCCCCAACTCTCCCACTGGAGGACGACTGCTCTAACCACTCAGCCAAAGCCGCCCAAAATACATACATTACAAAGATCAAGCAAGAAAGAAGACGACGTTTAGGTTTGTTTATTAAAAATGTCCAATGTCTCCATCAATCCAACATGTCCTCGTTATATCATACGGATTCTAACCCAATTATGAACAGGAAATTAAATAAAGCCACGAGAACAGGAAGCATCTGTGTAATTTTAAAGGAACTCTGGGTGGTTAAGGAGATGCCATGTTGAGAAGGTCTCTGTTTTTTCTACATTAAGAAAACACGTTTCCTTATTTCACGACGCCATCTGCTGGGATAAAGCAGAAAGGGACAAATCCAGACCCACGGCGTGTAATTCTACCCCGTGACGTGATCTGTAACGCGTTGGTGTTGATGGGTTGGACAGCCGCCACAGAAACGTTACTGAAAATCGCCGTGGATTTTGTCAGGACACGTTCGGTTCTCGTTAAATCAGGTGCATTTGGAGTTTACAGGAAGGAACAACATGAGAGGAGGGTCGTCGTGATTCCTTAATTAAATGCAATTTTTAAACAAACTGGGCGTTAACGTTGGGTGATTCTCCTCGGCTGAGGCCAAAATTAAGCAGACGACGCTCCGTCACCTGAACGCCACGAACAAACCAGACTTGCAACACATTTTCACATTTCAAAACACTTCGACTCAAATTTACCAAGTTCTCAGTCAATTTTTAAACAGGCAAGAACAAATATTTACTGAATCTTTACATTAAATATCTGTACAGCGGTCACGCTTTAATTTTTATATATCTATACTTCAATCAGTTTGGAAAAACCTCCACGCTGCACATAAACCAAGTCCATCGCCTGCGACGTGAGAGTCGAGTCATTCTTGAAGATTAAAACAAAACCTTTTTATTTTTAATTCACGTTATCGTCCAATTACTGCGCAACTTTTATGAAGCACAAACATGCAATAATTGGTTTAATATAATTTTCCATGTACAATCACACATTTAATAACATGCTGTTATTAGCTCACGTGCACTTGGTTCTAAACCCCCTCCACCCTGTTTACATCCATTCTCTGTGCAAACACAAAACCTCTAAAACCTCGTGTCATTTTTTTTTGACATGGCTTCTATAAACTCGAACAGTTTGATTTGTTTAGTGCCCATTAAATACCTGAAGACGGCCGGTTTAGTTCTCGGTGTAACATGACGCAACAGGTGCACCTTACCTCGCAGCGGAAGGGTTTCTCCCCAGAGTGCTGGAGCGAGTGGACTTTTAACGACATGCTGCGTTTGAACGACTTCCCACACGTCTCGCAGGTGAACGGCATGTCTTTAGTGTGAGCTGCGGTTAAGAGGAAGGGGTTGGAAAAAGAACAGCGTTTAAAAAAATCTTTTAAATAAGAAACACCTGCAAGAAAAGAGCAGCGCTGCACAACGAGATGTAAACATGTTATAGTTTAAATGCAAGCACGCCAGGTGAAACATTTACTCATACTGTGTGGTTTGAAGCTGCGACTCTTTACACGTCGACGTGACGAAAGGGAGAACTTTTATTTAGATTTGTTTTTTTGTAAATTACTTTTGTTTGAATATATTCTCGAAACAAAGGGGCAGATATAAGATTTATTCTTCTTCTGCTGCCTTTCATTTCATTTTTTGTTGTATATATATTTTGTTTTCTATTGTATATAGTTTTGTTTTTAATGAACACATTTCTAAATAATTTAAAACAATTTAAAAAATAAACCGTCCAACTCACCAACCATGTGCTTCCGAACATGAGCCATGGTGTAGAACTTCTTCTCACAGATTTCACACGAGAACTTCTTCTCTGCGTAGCCGTGCACGATCTTAATGTGCTCGTGCAGCGACCACAACTTCTTAAAGGACTTGTTGCAGGAGACGCACTGAAGAACAAACAAATTAACTTAAAAGAATTGTTGGACGTCTTCGAACATAACCTTCACGTGCATCCTTATACACTAGCGCCCCCTGCTGGAAAGAAAAATCAACAGAACTTGCTGAAGACATCTTCTTAATTTGAAGAGCGTTAATCAAATAGATTATTTATTGTGGAAGAAATGTTTTCAGTAACTCAGCGAACAGCATTTTTAATTTATATATTTCCGGTCAGAACTAGTCACATTGCTAAGATCTAACCTTTAACTGTTCTAAACACCGACACTTAATGAACTGGGTCCAGAAAAATACCTCAAACGAAACTTTAAGAGATTTACTTGAACTTCAATTATAATATACAGTAAGACACAACGTTTGACTGGATTAAACGTTTAACTCGAACTTAGCTGCTGCAGATCATTAAACCTTCTCGCTCCAGCTCTAAATGTTTTGCCTCGATTTGAAAGAAATCCAGTTTTCTGTGCTAGCAGCCATCTTGCATACTGCACGGGGACATTCTGAGCAAGTACACAAATCCTCACCGGTAGTTACGTTCAAAGGATCGTCAAAACTTCAAATTGGACTACATTTTCCTTTGAGGAGCTCCAACATGTCTGCACTCTGGCCAGGAAAGAGTGAAAGTGTTTGGTGGAGACACACAAACCACTTCCTCAGCGCTGACACCAGTACGATGCTCGAGCAATTCTTTTTAAACACACGGTTGTAAAATCTTCCACATGTGTCGAACTCAAGGGCCGCGGGCCAAATGTGGTCCCCCAAGATGATGATTTAAATGTAAAATATTCCACCTCTTCTAAATGTTTCTATAAACAAACCGATACATTATGTAGCGTAGACTTCTCTTGCCAGCTGACGAGCTGTGAAGGAAGAAGTCTGGATCGTTCTGTTGTCGATTCTGATGTGGAGAGAGCAACAGAACGTCAGACGAGACTGATCGAACTCTTCTTCACGAACCTGCAACCAAGAAAAGAAGTCGGGGATCTGACTCTAGTTAATGAGTCAGATCCCCGAGCTGAAAGTGGCTCGGACACAGTTTTTAAATTCTGCCTCCTTTTGGTAACAGAGTTCGACACCCTGTCTTTATTTTTAAAGATCAGTTTTCAAGACGCAGAATGATCCAAATACGTGCACCGATGACGCTAAATAACTACAAAAATTACTTTTTCTTTGAGTACTGCAAGCAGTAAATGTGAAAACTTTTTAAGATGGTGTTTTTACTTTTATGCAGCGCAAGTATCATTTATTGATAACCTTGAACGGTTTAAACCGATTGTTCTGTAGTTTAAAAAACTTACTTTAAATGAAGTAAAGATGCAGCATCAGTCAAACGGGGACTAATTCTACTTGTTTAAAAACAGCTGTAGAGCTTTTAGTAATTAAAATGCCAAAGGAGTTCCTTTAGTGTTAAGAAAAAAATCTGACAAGTCCTCATTATGAATTTGTCTTCACTGGGGAGTATAAAAAAATAAATATTCTAGCTTTTGGCATCAAGAATATGCATTAAGAGCATTCTTAGTACCATATTTTTCAGCCTACAAGTCATAGTTTTCTTTGCATAATTTACATGCCTGCAACTTATTTATGGATTTTTTCCATAAACCAATTTTTGGCTGAGACATGACCCTTTTCATTCATTCTGACATTAAAAATATTGAACACTACCATTTTTAGCCACTAGAGGGCGCTCGAGTGGTATGGCATGCAGTTGTGTCATGTAACAGGTAAAAGTGGCTATTAATGACACGCTCGCCACCTTCATCCAGCTCACCCGGAGCAACTGTCGAATCAGCTTCATTTCGCTGCGCCGCCCCGGTGAAATGCAGCTAATTTGATCATTAAGGTGCACTTATTAAGTTAAAGTTCAACTGAGACACACCTTTACTTTAATGTTGAGCAAACAATTGTTTTAGATGATTATCTTGTTAAATTTACAAGAAATGCGCGGCGTTCCTCGTTCCTGATTTCCTCCCCGCCTGCACACCCCCAGAGCACTGAGGCAGCAAATACTTTTGAAATGCAGCTGATTTGACCGTCAAAGTGCATTTATTAAGGAAATGTTCGACTTTATTATAATTTCGAGCAAACAAACAATTGTTTTTAAGTGTTCATCTTGTTAAAGTCCTCCCGTGCACGCTCCCACGGGCGCCATTTGACAGCCAATTGATTTTTGGCACGACACCGGCCCACATTTCTAGGTTTTCAGCGGTGACGCATAATAAATGCGACTTATATGGCAAAGTGACGCATTTATGTTTTTTCCAAATGTATTAGAAATATTTGGACTGATGCAACGTGTACGGTAGAAAATGCGGTAATACCACCATGCTCACACATTTAACCTGAAATCAAAATAAATAGCATAACTAGTTTAGAACTGAATTATTATGTTAAAAACAAATAGCTTAATTTTTTTAATCGTCTGTAAACTCTGTGGTGGCAAAACGTTTGAAAGTACTCGGTGCATTGAGGCAAACAAGAAATGTATTCACCTTTCTTGATGTCGATTCTAAAACCTTTGTAAGAACAAGCGATGGAGGTTTGTGTTACCTGGATGTTCTTCTCGCAGTCCGTCTGCTGATGAAGCGCCAGCTCGCTCTCCAGGATGAACTTCTTGCCGCACTTGTCACAGATCTGCATCCGCCTGTGAGTGACGTTCATGTGCTTCTCCAGGTACCAGCGCGTGTTGAACACTCTCGGACACTTCTCACACGTCAGCATCTCCTTCTCCTCCATCTCTGCCTTTCCGCCCGTCGTCGTGGTACCAGCTGAGGAGGGGGCCGACCTGGCTGACGGACGCTTCCTCTTCGGGGGCTCCATGCACTTCCGTCGCCCCCTGGTGGTCATCCCGGCGGTGGCGGCGCTCAGGGCGGTCCGGAGGCTTTTCCTCTGGGGCTGGCCGGCTGCTGACGTGCTGCTAGCACTTCGTCGGAGTCTTCTCGACCTTGTTCTTTGACTCTCAATCTCCTCCTCATACTCTTCCTCTTCATCATCGTCGTGGCTGTCCTCTTCGTCGTCATCCTCCTCCTCCTCTTCTTCGTCGTCTTCCTCATCCTCCTCCTCCTCATCACTTCCACCTCTGTCGGAGTCATCTGCTGCCGTCTCACTTTTGTCTCCCTTTGACACATAAAGCGTCTGGTTGTTCAGATTCACCTCCACGATGATCTGCTCTCGCTTGTAGCCCTCCTCACAATCTTCACCCTCTTCATCATCCTCCGATTCCTCGGCGGATCCGTCAATGGGTGCTAGGGACCCCTGCGTGCCCCCCTCACGTCCTGCTCCTTCCTCTCTGAAGTACTGCTGCTGCGAAGTGCCATGCTGAGAGGGTAAGTGACCCACGTTCTGGTCTCCAGCGGCGCTCTTGGCTGACATCTTGTTATCCACCAACACAGAAAAAGGCTTGCCATCAACCTCCTTCTTAAAAACCTTTCCTGTCAGGTCCAGGTTGGGAGAGTTGAAAAAGGACTGGGACACTGGAGCCCTGTGTCCCTCCTCCTGGGACATCCCGCCAACGCTCAGGATGGAAACCTCCTCCTTGAGGCTCTGGCAGGATTTCATGAAGGTACAGAGGAACAGAGTTGGTGGGATCACAAGGTGTTACCAATAAAAAAACTGCTGTGGAAGACTGGTCTTGCCTGCAAGGAGGGGCAGGGGACACCGCACCAATCCCCACCCTCCTTCTGCAGAAGAGTCAGGAAGAAGGGGACGAGGCGAGAGACACTCAACCCGATTCAAACAGACCATCCATGCCATCCGAAATGGAACGTACAGTTGGTACGACATTTAAAAGGTCCCCCAGTTGGTTCCATATGATTAAAACAAATCGAGTAACTAAAGCTCAGTTTTTCAAAGCAGTGCCGAGGTCTTTAAAACTGCAGGTGAAGACGAGCTGAACGACGCACACAGAGCTGCTGTAAGGACCTGGGGCTCCCGCTTGAACAGCCATTTACTGCGAGTTACCTGTACGGATGAGACGAAGAAGAAACAGAGAGGAATACAGATTAGAGATGCTGCTCTTCCGCCCGTTCGTGACCTGAAACCGGAGCCATACCGTCAGGTTTTAAACAGCGAGCGTCACATTTGTCCACAGATGTTTCAGTGCCGTGAGCGGGAGTTGAAACCACGGCTTTCAGAAAAGACCAACCGATTCCACGTGCAGCGACGGCACGGCCTGAACGTCTCTCTGAACCACAACTGAAACACCTCGTTGTCAAAAATAACAGACAGATGCTTTGATTTGTGGAGCGAAACGCCACAAAAAAGCCAAGTAGTAAAAAAAAAAAAGGCATTAATGGTCTAAAAGACAGATGTTCCAAAGTAATAGATGTTTCTTTTACAAGAGTTTGCACAGCTGAGTGGACTGTGCATAAACAGATGGACTCATCTCATCTAGAATCTGAATTTTCAGCATCAACAGTAAATCTTACATTAAACACATTTGAGCTTTAATATAAAATACTTGTGTACTCCAGAAACAAAATGTTCAGCGTTAAAAAAAAACAAAAAACCTGGAGAATTACTAATCAAAGCACGCTTTTCGTTTCAAACAAATGTGAACGCATCTCCCATTGACTGTTAGCGAGCGTAGCGTAACCGCAGCTCGAGCTCGCACTGCAACACCACCACAGGAAACTGTGTGAACGTGCGTGGAGCTTAGTGCCACTTTTCACAGCCGGCCGTTTTATTACAAGCAACGTCAAGAGAGAAAGATTAAAAAAGTGACATTTTACTTTAAAGTTTGCACGTGCAGCGCGCTCCTCGACCTGCGTACGTACCTGCCCAGGTGTTCCAGGTCGGCAGCTGGTTGACCCCAAACAGCCGCTGCCTTACACCGTCATTCTGAGCAAGCGACGCGCTGGTTCCTTTGCTAGAAATCGTCTCAGAGCAATACGCAAAAAGTGCATTTCCTTTCTCGGAGACAGCAAACGTCCTTCTCTCGACACCTTCACAAACATGTGCATGAAATGAACAACATCCTGATGCTACAAGGAGCGACTCAAGCGCCTCAAGCCCAGATGCGTTTAATAAAATGTGCGAGGAGGAGGAATAAAGTACCGGTACTACAAAATGTGAATTTTAAATGACCAATTACGGGGAATAGAACTTCATAAAGAGATCTCGCAGTAATGCTCGAGATCGTCTTTTACGAGGGTTGACCAAAAAAAAAAGCTACAACTCCATTTACCAACAAGAGTTAATAAACTCTGGCCTAGGCCGGTCGCAATAAACAATAAATCAATTAATCGCATGATAAATGAAAATTATCGACCTCGTTTTCATTCATCAGCTTCATCGATTCTTCGTGCCTCTCTTTCTACTGAAGACACTGGACGACAAAAGGCTCAACTCCGGTGCTCTTCACTGACCTTTCTCTTTAAAATCTGTTTTAATCGTCCAAAATCACATTTTGGGATCGTTAAAAGCAGCTAAAGCTGAGAAGCTACGCTACGAGCTAAGCTAACAGTCGACCTCTGGGAAAACACCTCCGTCTTGTCGAAGCTCCAAAATTCACGGTTGAAACCCGTGCCTTCGTCTAAAAAGTTGTTTTCTGCAAAAAGAAGCTGAGAACTTGTTTACTGATTTTTTTATTAAAAGCTTTGTGTGAAAAATGTTTTGCTAAAGAGCTCAAATCGCACGAGTGTCAGCCATTTTGAGAACAGAAAACAGTGAGACAGCCCATGTCACGTCAAGGGGCCTCCCTCCCTCACTATCCATTCTTAGGTTCAAACATTCTTATACTGACATCTAGTGGTCGAAAATGGTACTACACACAAAAATTAACCAACGTTTCTTGTCAAATTTCAAACAATATTATCATTTATCACAATAATTGCTGAGACAATTAATCGTCCAGCAAAATTTGTTATCATGACAGGCCTAATCCGGCCTGGAAAGTGCCTTTCTTCAAGAAAGGATTTTTTATTATTATTTGCTCATTTTACTCATTTAACCCCCAGAGATGTTTTGTTTTCAACAACACTCACTCAGACGACACCCTAACGACATTAATGTCACCTTAAAAATAAAAAATAATAAATTCTCATCAGTGTTGTCAGGTCATCTGGACAGTTTCTTGCTTTTTTTTTTGCGAGACGTTTTGTCCTTCATCCAAAGGACTTCTTCAATCTGAGGAGTCAGACCGTCCCAGAGGAGATGATGGGGGAGAGGGCAGGCAGGTTTTTTCCCCACTATGGAGTATGTTGTTTGTGGGAACCAGTTTGCTTGGTGGCTCCTCAGATTGAAGAAGTCCTTTGGATGAAGGACGAAAACAAAAACACTTTTCAGTTGACCCGACTGAACATTGTTGGATTTTATAACTGGACTATTGAGCATGAACTTTGATGTAATTTTCTCATCATTATCTGCTTTAATTTCACTTTATTTTGTCTAAAACTTTTAACATGCAGCAGTTTGAAGTGGAACAAAACTTTACTAGTCGAACAAATAAGCATTTTTTTTTTGGTCAAAATAAATAAATAAATAAATAAATAAACATAAGTAGTTTGTGTCGACTTTGACTTTCTGCTCATAAATGAAGTCGTCCTCGTCTTGCTGCGTCCACAGACTCTGATGTCTCCAAGAATTGTGCAGCAGTTCTCAGAACATTAAGCCCACAGGGGAGGAGTGGGTGGGGAGGCTCGGTTCTGACAGAGCAACTTGACTCGGTTGTCCAAGACCCAAAGCCTTACAGATCATCATCCGGAGCAAAATAAACTGCATGAAAAACCACTGACTTTACACCCAAACTGCTGTTTTTACCTCCATTCAAGCACATTTGTCTTGAAATAACAGAAATATTTGTGGCATTCCCTGCATAAGAACATTAGGCCTAATATTGTTGGTAAGAAATGAGTTGCAGCCGTTTTAGTCAAACCTTGAAAATATCCTTACGTGGTGTCTGACATGACGTCGCGCTCAAATCGTGGGTTGTGAACTCTCAGCTACAACCGCATCAAATTTCAGAGCATCGTCTGTTGACTGAATTTGAACTCTTCTTGTTTTGGACATCTTGATTTTGAATAGACTCCGAACGTTGATCATCTGTAAAACTTTGATTACTTTCTAAAAGTTTAACTGAAAACCATCCAGCGCCTCGCGAGATATTTTGCTAAAAGACACAAACAGTGTTAACTCCAACAATTGATGCTCAAGTTTTACGCAAAGGTCTTGTCCAATGAGAAGCGCCGGGAGCATATGTTGTAAAATTAATAGAATTAGTCATTTATTTTTGTTTTTAAGTGCATTTAGATGAGTGGTCATCTTGAATTAGATTGGCTCCAGATTAATCAGTTGTGGAGGTACATTCAGTGATTATTCCCAGAAGGTTTCATTATAATCCACCCAGTTAATAACCATCTATAAAATGTTAAACAGATTTCACTAGATAAATTTAAGCTCATAGCACAAGTCGGGGATCAGTCTCAGCTACTACCACGCCTAATTTTAGCTCATTGTCTGTTAAATTGACTGAGTATAACCATTATTGTGTTTGCTGATCTCAGCTGTGATGGCCATCTTGAAATGTGTTAGATGCACTAATGATTACTTGCAGAAAACTGCGTTAAAACCTCTTCAGTGGTTTTTTTAATGGGACGACTGAAGAAAGTTGAGCAACTAAACGACTCGAGAAGTTAAAAACCTCCCACTCTTATCTTAATCAATGAGTCATTTCAGGGTTTCACTCACTGTGTAAAAAAAGTCTTTTGATGTGGGAAACGTGAAGCGAACAAAACTCAATATCGGCGGCAATTAGCTCACAATCAACCTGCCAAATCTGGAAGTGAAACCTTCTAATATGACGATACGGTGCGTGAAAACTTCTGTTTTGGAAAGCTTCAAAAGATTAACGCTGCAGCGCAAGACTAAAGAAGTAGATCATTGACTTTCATTAATCCAAGGCAAATAAACACTTCTCCCTTGCAAACAGACCTGACGAGCACGCCGAGAAATCAAAACTGAATTTGTGTAAGGTCACCCACAAACCAGTCATTTAACAGACGCTTTGCTGCGGTTTAAATCTATATGACACAGGATGGGAGTGTTGCTACACCACGCAAAAAACAAGAGGATTATACAGTTTCACAAGCCGTTTGCTGAGCTAGGAGAGTCATCTGTGACCAAAAGAAGTAACTTTTACCTCTTAATATGCATAGATACTTAATTCCATGAACCTGTCAGGTCTGGAGTTTAATGAGCTTTCTCTTCTGCAGCTTGTGGTGGATCGTGTTAAGGTTCACATTCCTCACTCCGTCCAAACTCATGAGCCCTTAACCAGCTCACTGCAGGGGTGCTTCATGCCTCTGCTCGTGTTGGGCCCTCAAGCCCATAATCGGGTCATAGAGCAACGCACCGGGCTTTTGGGTCTGGTCCGTGCAAATCATCTGGGTTAGCAGGGAAAAGGTGGGAGGGTAAAATCTCAGCTCTCCTTCAAGTTTTAGCCTCACCGCTGCACCACACTGAGGCATAACCTGCCAGGTTGGTTGTTTTATTTAAAATGTGGAAATATCATAAGTTATATAAGCTGTAATTATTTATATATAGACACACACACACAACAT